TAGCCTGCTGATGTATGCAGGATAACTGTTACTCGTGTAAGTACGTGTCGACCTCAGTGCGGGATTTATCGAATCGAAATTGCAGTTATAGATTCAGAGTAATAGAAATGGAATTACCCTGCTTCCATGCTAATGAAGGGTGAAATTTGCAATTGTCCTGAGTAATTCTAGCGAAAAAAAAAAAACAGAGAAGCTCTGCCAGATCCTCGTAATGCATTGTAAAGAAGAATTTATCAACTTATTATCAAATTTTGGTAATGAACTCGAACAGAACTCGAAATTTCTGTTTCAATTTTCATCAAATTCAATGTACCGTTTCCAGTCCCATATTTACAGCTGAAAGTACACTCACGTGTATTTCCATGATGGAGCATTCCACTCAACCCATAAATTGTCATCACGTCCGTGAAATTATATATATGAGATTGAAAAATTGATTTTCCCTCGCTGTATATGCGAGTTTGTTAAATATTTGTAGGTTAATCATTTGAGTTTTAATTAATGATGAACGGATGAATTAAGGATTGATATTAATGCATGATTCACAGTTCGATTACTCGATTAGTCCTAAAAAATTGTGAATTTATTAACCTTTTATTATTTATCCTAAGGAAAGGAAGAGGAAATTTTGAAAAATTTTTCAAAAATTTGAATAGGAATTTTTCTTTATGATTTAGATAGCGTATTTTTTGAAAATATTAAAAAATTTAAAAAGTAAAAAAACATCAGTATAATTAAAAAAAAATTATATTCACAATTATTTCGCAAAAATTATATTCGCAAATTTTTGAAAACCACAATTGTTTTATCTCTACATTTTTTTTGTTTAAAAAAAAATTCCTGAAAAATTTTCCCGAAATTTTCGAAAACTTGAAAAAAATATTCCGATTACAATTTTTGTTTTACCAGGATCCTGGAATTCGCAAACTTCTCTTCCATCCAAAAAACATTAGCACTCATTATTAAAAACATTATTTCAATTTATTAATTACCAAATATTGAAATTATCCACAGAGTTTGTGAAATTTGCAATTAATAATCTGATCGTAGATCTATTAACAGTGCTGATGATTAAAATGGGTGGTTACGCGAGCATACCATGGGTACGAAAATAGACGTCCGGAGGAAAACATGCGCCAAACCGGGGCCACATTTACCCCACCTCCCCCCTTTCCCCCCCTCTGTACTGCGGTTGTGCGTGTACTGCAACTCGTCTTGCAGTTAACTTTCAACTCAGCTTAATCACAATTTTCGAAACTCACGTCAGCGTCTATTACCGATTGGCATGCATCCGGCTTTCGAATAATATTCAACTTTAATTCTTTAAAAAATCGGCCGATTTATTAGCGCAAAACGCACTCCCGCGAAAATCGGTGTTTCCTTTGTCTGTGAAAAATATGACTGATGATTTTTTATTAGAAATCGATACATAATTATTAAAAAAAATGGAAATGACCGGTAATTGAAGGTGAGATCGCAGAGAGATTTTAATATTTATCCTGAGATCGACGGGAAATGAAAGAAGATGATTGGAGATTCACGAGTGGATGAGCGTTAATTTGTCCTCGATTTTTCAATTTTTACTGATTATTCACGTTTTTTTTTTGCAATAATATCCATTTTTCGATCGACGAGCGAATGCCTATGCTGTTTTCATTCACTACAAATTTAAAGCAAACAGCATCCATGACCGAGCGCATATAGATTTTTTACTTCCGTAGTGCCTGGCAAGGTTCCACTCCATTTTACGTTGAAAAAGCCCGTAAAAGCAGACGAAAAACAACTAGTTGTGCTGCATCCAGTCTTCATGACGTGGCCAAGCCGTAAACATAACGTCAAAGTATACACATAGTTTCACTGGACGACAAAAAAAATCCGTCAAACAATAAAAAAGAGAGCGCGGCTAAAAAAATATCATAGGACGTCGTAAAAAGTTGCAGGAGACCCTCGAAATTAAGTCTTCAAAGTGTCTCAAAGAGTCTGTACAAATTTTTAACGAGATTCCCAAGGGAAAGACGAACTAGAAAAAGACTCCGAATATTTTTTAATGCATACACTTCAAGAGTTGATTGATTAATTCAACATCTGCCGAGTCTCATCAAAATAATTGCATAAACAAAATAAAAATACAGATGGCATCAATTATTCGTTATTAATACACATTAGGTCGCATTATTAATTCAGTAATTATGTTATCGAATTTGAAATGAACTATTAATATTTTCAATTATTTATTGGAAACTCAGAGAACAGTAAATAATGTTCTGGTGCTGATTTGTGATGATTTTAAAGTCGTCATCGCAGTAATAAATTCTAAGAAAAAAAAACCACTTGAACTGGACTTCGTACAGGCAATTCACTCGCATTTCTCATTTCAACTATCCGTCATCCATGAAAATAACGATAATATGCGTAATATGGAACGAGAATTGAGATTTTATTTGATGGATTATTAATGGGAGTTTAATTTCAAAATTTATGATTCTGCTATCCATCAAATTCAGTTTTAAACGTTTCAAACATTATATATGTACGAGCAAAAGTCATTCAGTCATTTAGTCATTCAGTCATTTCAGTTTTAAATTCGCAATTTTACATATTTGACCTCGAACTTGAGCTTCGAGTTATTTTCAACGGCAACTGCGTTATATTTCAAAAGACAAGTTATGCAATTCAACGTAGGACATTTTTCAACAGATGGAAATAGAGACACATGTGCCTAGCCTCAGTATAAATTCTTTAAAAATCTCCAGGGAATTCGATTTTCATGGCTTTTCCAATTGCAAGTGGCAATTCTATCCAATACGACATGCACTTTCTAGCTGATGCAATTTTATCTTGAACCAAGACTTCTGTGCGAATTTATTTATTCGAAAATTTTTTATTTCCACAATAAATGAATGACTGCTGATATTTCCTTTTGATAAATATAGTCAACATCAATTTTTTTATTCTATTGAATATATATATTTAATATATTATAATTTTTTTAATTAATTGTCAGGATTATCGCGGAAATAAATAATGTTTCAAAGATTATACTGTGGCCTGGTTTTTCCTCGTCGACTTGTGCCATGAAAAACCCAATCGATTTTTTCCAAATCACCCAGTTGGGTTATCACAGTAGTGAACCTCATAATTCCGTGGCATCCCATCACCTATATTTATTCACCAATAAAGGGGAACAACGAATAAAGGTGATAAATCGGAAAAAATACGAGGTACATTCTGCGGTTAAATCTCACTCCCATCGCACTAAATATGACAATGATAAATAGCCAAAGTAGAATCAATGGAAAATTCACCGGCATCATAACAATATTTCTAAAAGTATTTGGGCATTAAATATTTGTTTTTCCCACACTGAATTTTTTTTTTCAAACATCGATTTACATGCAGTACGTGACTTCACCCACAATTTCATTGATAAATCTGTTGACGTGTGAAAAAAAAAATCTGATAAATGCGTGCGAAAGCATCTCCATTCATTAAATTCCCAACGATTCAACACCAACACAGACTCGTTACTCAATTCATCCAGTGCCTCGGGTTCTTTTTTCCCCCCACAAAAAGTCACATTGTGCTAACGATCAATCTTTTTGTTTAGACAATTTGCGTTGAGCGCGATGAATCTAACGCGCATTGACCAATACCTATAATGAAATTGTTGGCAGTTTACCAGAAGTGGATTTAAACACAGTGAATCCCACGATTTGCATGTCAATTGCATGCTTTCTCGACCGAATCATCATCCTGGCACGTCAAGCAAGTATATATACACGGGAATGTGACTCAAGTACTTCATAAAATCTTATCGTTCTGGCATTCCTTGGAAATGGTCTTACAAGTGCGTAGAATTTCTTTGATCAATTGGATGTGACGTCAGGCGACCCTCACACTATTTCCTCGTGAAAGCCATTCACAACCGTCAAACCTCCCTCTGTTTATTCCCCTCTTTTTTTTTTTTTTTTTCGTTGGAACTAATCCAAAATCCTATTTCCTGGAGATCTCGGTGGTACTTTAATCATTTAGGGACAACCCCAAAAACTTGACAGTTGGCTGTCAGACATCTGGCCGTTCACGATGGCATTTCACGGTTTGAGATGAAAATTCTTGTGGAATGTCAACTCGTTAAACTCGTTCATGCCTAGTTGCACTTGCAATAGTGTGTGGGCTGCTGGTCATTCTCGGATATTAATACCTCCGGCCAGAGATTATGTTGTGCGCAGATATCTCTAGGTTTGACAGCACATCCGTCATCGGTGAAGATGAATTTTTATTAATTGGGTAATTAATCCCTCGGGGAATTTCAGACAATAGTGCGGTAACTATATTCCGGTTTTCACGGTGAAAATATTGATTGATTTTAAAAATTTCGGAAACAGATAGAAATTTGTTAAGGTTTCCCGGAGAGATCCACTTTTTCAATGAATTCACATTATCAATGTAATTTTTTTTTAATAATATCTTTTATATTTTTTTTATAATATATATATATTTTTTTTTATTTGTATTTTATTTTTTTTATAATATGTTTCTATATATGTGTAAAAAAGGAATTATCTCTGATGTTGAATTTTGCCGACAAATCCAAAAATTCAGACTTCCCTCAAAAATCAAAAATCACATAACTCAAAAAACCAATGAAAAAAATATTCAAGATTAATTTGAAATTGTGAGCTTTACGCAAAAAATAAAATTGTATAATAAAAAATGAAATCAACATTCTGACTGAAATTCGAACACGCCATTTTGTTCCCGTCCGCCATCTTATCACGCCAGCAATGGAGTCGGTATAATTCAAGGTTATGGATTGAATCAAAACCAATTGGGAGTGGCATGTCCTCGGAAACTCCAGTTGATTCCCAAACCTGAGGAATACGATATTCGCGAATGGTGTTAATCTAGAGTTACGCTTGTGACATTGTCCAAGGGCACGATTAACATCTTCCTGAGGCCAGCCATGTCTATTGGGTTTGGTATTGATGTGACCATGACAATTGAGGCTTGGCTGGTATAATTACATCGAAGGGCTTCGCCTCCGGCAGCATTGGGCATATAGTCCCTTCTGATACTGCAACCTACCGGTTATACATACCACGATTATTCAATATGAAGGGTTGGCTGGACTGCTTAACCCGTGTAACTTCCAATATTCCCCATTAAGGTGTAAATGAACGCCAGAGTTATCTGATACCCAGCGTACGTGATCGAATTTCCCGAAATAAATGAAGCAATTATAATTACACCAGGTCACACTGAGTATTGGCAAAATTTTTCCATTTTTCTCCTGTATATTTTTCATCCTGTATTCCCGGATTCTTCATTCACTTGAATTTCGGTAGGACCACGAAAAAATATATGGATAATCCCACAGAACGCCAACTGTGCCCCAACACTGGCTACTCTACTGCTACCAGTGACCACTGACTCCAAAGTGCCAATGGTTTTAATTAGGTGATCAGAATAAAATAATACGATTCACACTAATTGAATGATTGATTCTACAAATAATTAAAAAAATAATACTCTGAATAACAATAGGTTGTATTTTAATTCAATGTTAATAATTTTATTAATGAATAGGTAATTATTTTTTGTTGTGGGTAGACTGAGGCGCTGAATATAAAATTATTCATAAAATCGGATGAAGATAGACGATAATTTTTAATGGAATTAAATCCGAATGAAGTTACTCATTCATATGTGAATGGAAGATTCGTCTTTTCATCAATATAGTATACGTGGATGGGTAATTGGATAAAATACGTCATGCTTTTACGATTATCGGAAATATCCAGATGATATCCGGTTCCGAATAATCTCTCCACTCAATCAATCGGATTTGTCTCCATCCGTTTATAGAAAAATGAGAAATTATTAACTAAAATTTAATTGAGACTCTTAATTGAAAATTCGAATGACCCTGTGAATGGATTACATTTCTCTCCGAATTTGTCCGGATGATATTTATTTTTCTTCATTGCTAATTTGTTTCCTACGTATCAGAATGAATCCAAACAGTTGCCAGCCAGACATTTTATCAGGAATGTTTGCTCGTAGATAAGTGATCGGAAATGTGGTGTTTGTTTAGGATGAGTCATGAAACTGAAATTTTGAATTCGAGTATTCTGCATTTACTTACCGGAATGACTGTTCCTCGTCTGACGTTACATCAACAGTGATGCAAACAGTTGAAATAATCCAAATTCACTCTCGAAAGCATTTGCAACGTAACAATTTCACTTCTCAACTGAATTTACATGCGAATGACTGATGCAGGATAAAAATAGATATTCAATTAGTGCTGTAATTTTATGCTCTCGGAATAGAATTCAGGTTAAGTTCACGGAATTCATTAGAGTCAATCAAAATGTTGATATGGTGTGAATGCGTTTGTGTTGATCTGGTTGCATTTATCCCGATAAGAAATAAATTTAAGTGCAGAAACATGTAATTGAATCAAGTGATAACCGGCATGATCTCTGGTTTTTCCTTTTCAAATGCAAAAACACTTGAAATTTTTCAGAACTTCTTCTTCATTGGCGAATCCATTTATTTTGCAATATTTACGTCATTTTCAAAATTCAATATTCAAGGTTCTCCGGACGATTAGAAATTTTTGGAAATTTTCTTCCACCAAATCTGTAAAGAAAACTGACGGTTAGGTTAGGTTAGGTTGCGCGTCTCTATAAAATATTAATAGACTCGCGATGGGATATAATATATCTCAGATTCTGATAACGTCATAACACCTTCCTCGTATTTTGTCATTATTACACATAACACGACTTGACGTACCTCATCCGCTAATATGTTGCCACGAAATTATCGCTGAGTTAATACCCTCTGCAACGTCAAAATTAACGCCAGCACCGCTCATACCCACTGAATATTGCATGTAAACGCTAATATACATTTAAGCGAATCACGAATGTCCATCATTCGAGTGGAAAAGAAATTTTTAGTGACACCAGTGCGCCGAATCACTCAAAATCCCACTAAAATGATCAATTAACATCCGGAGATAAAAGAATTCCACTTCCCGGAATTCGAATTCGAATTCGAAAAATTCGCGTTTGCAGAATCTGAAAAATAAATTGAAAGAAAAAAATTAATTGATTTTATAAGTGATAAAGTCCTCATTTGGAATTTTTTCAGAAAAAAAATTCTCGTTTTAGTTGAAATGGAAAAAAAAATGAACTTGAAGAAAAATTTCGATGTGAAGTACCTCAGCCCCGAAAAAATTCACAAACTAAAGGAAATTGAGCTGGAGAAAGATTATTAATATGGAAATGTAATTTACGAAATGTATTCATAAAATTCTCAAGCGTTGGCTATTTGGCATGTGCAGTGAATGCTGATTGGAATTGATTCGTTAAAATTTCAAGGCTATTACCGATTTTTGATGAATCAGCGTATTTCAGGTAGTATCTCACAAAGGTTATTATCCGATTCCATGAAAATCGTAAAAATGTTGGACGTGCCTCCTGTAGCTAGCTTACGGAATCGGTATTGACAATCGCTCTCGTAAAATCCAGGAAATGGAGTTTCATCAAGGCATTGTTTCTGGCTGTCCGATTTTCTGTTTACATGGAGTCCTCTTGACGATCCGATCCATATCAGATCGAAAAATCGTTTCGAATATCATCAGTGCAATTTAAATTAAAATCATATCATCGGGGAGAGCGTGGGAGAGTGGAACGGCTTTAATTGTAGATAACTTGAGATCGGGAGAGTAAAATTCAACGATTTCCACTCCATTTTCGATTTCTGTTTTTAATCTTTGAAATAAAAAAAAATCGTTTGATTTTGCTCAGGGGTTTACGAGTTATTGACATTTGAAAATCTTTCATTTTCTCGCTCTCCCCAGAATTTAATTACTGACGAGTGGAAATTCCGCAGTAATAATTAAAAAAAAATGCTGGAGTCAAACAAAAATCGCAATTTTATTTTTCTCTCATATGGTCTCATTGTAGTTATTTAATTAACTCCGGAGAAATGGAGAAGAATGGCGGAAAAACCTGGAGCTCGTATACCTGTAGCAGACAGAAACTATTAAGGACAGGGAAACGAAGATTCACGATGGAAAAGCGGTATAAAATCGTGGTTGCATGCGACATGCTTGACTCGTTTTTTTCATTTCGTCTACATGTACCAAACTCTCAACGCGAATAAATTTGACCACTGGAAAATCCGTAGCGAGACGTTTAATTAATTAGTGGTGTTATCTACAGCGATCTTTTGCATTGGGTTATAAATCCTTGTAGATAACCAGATGACCTTTGAACTTCAGAAAGATTTAGATATTGCTAATTATCGATATTCCCGAATCAATCGTATTATTGCCTCATTTTCAGCGAATAATCGATTTTTTATAATACCAATTTTCGAATAATCGATTTTCAATCTAGAGTATTGACATTAATATTCTAATATTCTATCTATGTACCATCGACGATGAATATTCTTAGTGATTCCTGAAGTTCTTTTTTTCTGGAGTAAAAGGAGAAATCTCATCCGCAAATTGAAGGGAATTCCACAGGGATGTGATGACGTTTCGTTTGAAGTTGCTTAATCCGTCGTGGGGAGAATTTTTTATTTTCTTTCTTCGAAAATTCACCTCCAGATAAGCACTGATTGAAAAATCGCTGGAGCAAATCCAGAGGGTTAGTATACGTTTTGCCGAGGAGAGGGAAGGAGTGTGGTAGAGAAAAAATTCCCTGATATAAAGTTCACAAAACTCCTGCCAAGGATCGAATCCAATCGTGTGACTAGAATGAATAAATTTTATTAGTGATAAATAATCTGAGGTTAGTCATGAGGTGAACAGATAAAAATAGAGATTATGGATTTTTTTATTTATTATTTTCACAAGCAGAATGTTTGAATCTTTATGAGTTTCGAATAGATTGGGGAATTGCAGCCTTATGTGATTCATTGAAAAACCATTTGTTGGATACCGGTAATTTTTACCGGGCAGCACTACCAGGAAAATCGTTAATTGAACGCGGTCACTGGGTCCATTAAAGAGGACTAATGAAGTTTAAGTTGACTTAACAACAAAGTTTCAAGACACAATTTCCGAATTTAAAGTCGTTGAGTTCCGGCGAGCCAACGCCCGGAGGAAGTTACATTAACTTGAACAAGTTTCTTTGATTGTTGTTGTGTAATATTCAGGGAGGAAACCTAAAAAAAGTGTTCGAAAAAAATGTATTTTCATCGATTTTCGAAAAAAATGTACTTTCATCGATTTTCGAAAAAAATGCATTTTCCTCGATTTAAAAAAAAAATTATTTTTAGCTTTCAATTGAATTCAATTTTTTTTGGACCAATCGAGAGGTTCGCTACTCAGAACTCACACGTTATTCCGAGAATTGTCACAAAAAAATTGATTTTCATCGATTTTCGAAAAAAAAATTATTTTCATCGATTTTCGAAAAAAAATTTATTTTCATTTTTTAATTGAACTCAATTTTATTTGGACCAATCGAGAGGTCCGCTACTCAGAACTCACGAGATATCCTGTGAATTTTCAAAAAAAATTTGATTTTCGAAAAAAAAATTTTTTCCCCGATGAAAAAAAAAAGTATTTTCATCGATTTTCGAAAAAAAATTATTTTCATCTCTCAATTGAATTCAATATTCTTATGGACTCATAAAGAGATCCCCTACCCAGAACTCTCAAGTTTTCCCGAGAGATTTCCCAAAAAAATGATTTTCTCAAAAAAATGTATTTCCTCATTTCACTAAATAAATTCCACAAATGAATTAAGTGATGGTCCCCCCAGTGAACGATACCGAGAATAATGTAATACAATAAATAAATTAACCTAAAACGATTAAAATAATCAACTTAATACAATAAAGAGGCCATTATTGAAATTGATCGTTGATTAAATAAAATGAAGAGTAACAAATCGGTTTTACCTATACATAGCAATACCGATTCAATATCGAACTGATTTCGAAATTCGTGACTAATTTAATCCTCGGAAACTGTATCGCACCGTTTGAGTTTCCTAAATTGATGAAAACTATGAATTCTCCATCAGTTTCCCAAAACCAATGTGATTCATTACACCCGAGTCTCATCCCTCGGGAGAGCATTATTCAACGAACATCGCAATACCGATGTAGCAATATGTTCTATGATTTATTTTCCATTAAAATTTCATTCATAATAGTGATATCAATTTCGGTGTATTTAATTGCAAGTCCAAATGCAGTTGTAATGAGAGTCCATCAGGTGAATAGAGGGTTTCGATGCTCATCACGAATAATGAGGAATTCCATTCTTGTGGTTTAATTAATATGTTTCGATAATTATTATCATTCAATATTTACAGTACCATTTGAGTGATCAGGGAAATTCCGTTTTCCTGGGGGATTAGTCGGATTAGATATTTAATTAGTGTGTCATGTTTTTCGACGATCTATTCAATCCCTTCGAGTGGTTCTTATATAACCAAATACTGCGTCTTTCTACTCTGGAGATCCTTGAGATCTGTTGAATGTTCTGTAAGGGTACTCCAATACTTCTGCTCGGTCGACTCCAAGAGGAATTATCCTCACAATTCTACAATTTCATGAAGTACCTCCTAGCCCCTGCTAACACAATAAAATTATCTAGACTTGGAAAAATCTTCCAGATCCATTATAAAAATTCCTAAATTAAAACAAATCCATTATTTCCAGCAATCAATTCTATCCAACCCTTTCACTTTCATTTATCAGTGAAATTTTTATGAATTTTCTTTTTTAAAAAAGAATTTTTTAAACAATGATTAAAAAATCGTATATAAATATAAATTAAAAAATTTTCAGCAGATGAAGGACGACAGAAAAAAGGAGTGAAGATAAAAAAAAAATGTGGAGAACCAAGGAAAAGCGAAATTGTAACGAAGATAAACAAGATGGTTGAGTTTTCTGGGGTTAATGCGGCACATCGCAAGTTTCGATCGAAAGCACTCACGTTGGTGTCGACGTCCTTGGAGTGGTGAGGGATTTCCATATATAAACGAGGCCCAAAATCCGAGAGGATATATATGTACTGATCCTAGTTCGGAGATTGGCGATGTTCCAAGCCCTAGGCGCACATCTGACTGTACGAACACGAGTAGTCAGCAATTTAGCCGAGGGGTGCTGGACTATTCCACCCTGGGAAGCCCCTGCGAGTTATTCCAGCCCTTTACCAGATTCTCCTCTCTCTATTCGTTTGTCTCTGTTTATCTATCTCGATCCAGGCTTCATCTACTTGTGGAATCATGAACATCGATCCTCACTCGATCCAGAGATACTCGGATTCATCTCCATTGAAGCTCATGTCCTTGCCCCAACTGTCGTCAACTTCAATTCGTGACAAACACGCCATTTACAACTATTCTCCTCGATTTAACAACAAATCTATCAATACATCACTCCCATCACCTCAATTCCTCAATCTTTGGAAATTTCCGATGAAATTTCACGTCATAAATCACAGGAAAATACACTGGACTGCAGGGTGTAGGATACACCGGCGAAATATTTTTCGTGCGAGAAATTTCTTTCGAAAAAAATCCAAATACCTAATTAATTATAAATTAAATATAAATAATTATAGTCCAGTTAAATCCAAGAATTTTAACGAATAACTTCTCCTCCCGTAATCATAATTCCAAATGGACAGACAATCCTCGGAGTACGGAGAATGATTTTTCAATTTGTCTTTCAGCAATTACCCAGTAAATTCGTCGTGCGAAAACTTCTTCGTCACTTCGGAACACAAAGTGGAAATGTTAGTAACTGAAATGCGATTGGATCAGACAGGAACTTTGGGATTAGGTAGTGCGAACGAAAATTCACCATCAACCACCTTTTTCGCAACAACACAGTAACCCCTGGATTTTCTCCCAGCACTTCGTAAGCCTTACGGGAAAAACCTCTCTATCGAGCTTTACCCGTAACCTCTGATGCGAGTCTCTTCGACCTAGAAAACTGATGGTTAAA